CGCTTAAATGTGTTACGGCTAACACTTGATGATTCATGATGATATATAGACTCATCAAAATTATGAATTCATATTCATAAATAGTAATTGAACTTTGATTACTCGGCGCGTCGATTGTACACTTGTTTTTGTAATATACAGTATTAGTAGAAAAATCTTAAAGTATTTTTTCTGAGATACAATACAAACTTATTTTATTAAATTTATTATAATTAAAAAAAAGTTATCACTTTAATAAATGCTTTTATAATTTGAAATAAATTATATTTTCAAGATTTTACATGAAAATTAATATTGATTCTAGATTGAATACTTTCAATTAATTGAATTCATTTAATTGAGTATATTTTTAAATTATATTTCAAGTAATAAAATTATATAGTTTAACAATACAGAGGATATCATTACAAACTCATCCTTTTCCTGAACCCACACTTTATATTATATTTATAACAAGAAAACGGATATTTAATACTAAAACCACAAAAACGTAATCAATACTAAATGTTGTAAATCATAGAATTTACATGAAGTTAAAAGGATATTAGTTGTTATAAACAGATTATATGGTTTCACACACAACGACATACAGTAGGAATTAATAGCAATTATATTCACAAAATTATACCATTATTAATGGATCATTCAAAATAGAAATTGAATCAATTCGGAGTTTGATACAATTTTACGACGATACATTTTTCCCATAATTAAAGTATTTGGAAATACAACATTTAATTACTTTTACAAATTAAATGAAATATTAGTACTATATAATTGTTAACTCATTAAATCTGTAATCAAAATTAATTATCAGTTAATAAGATAATAAACTATTTTATTATATTTATTTTGTAAATTAACAGCTAATATACAGTACTTATAATGAGGACTTTTCCTTACATTTGATTGACTTATGTGTATCTCTTGGAGATAATTGATACTAATATTTATTTTAATTCTTCAATACATTAACATTTAAAGTATTGATTCAGTTAAAGACAACGCGATTGCAAACCACAGATTGTTTCAAAACATACCATTAATTGTCAAAACACTTAAAAACATTTACATTAATACAAATACTCTCTCAATCCATAAGAGAGGACTTTAAAAGAGAAAACTATTCGCAAAACTTATGATATTTTTATAAACAGTCTATTATTAGATTTATAGATAGAATTTGTTTATAAAACACTAATCATGGGATTGATTACAATATTATGGCGACAATCAAAACATTGAAATCGCGAGTCTTTTAGTGTCAGTTAAATCGTAAATTCAAAACTCAATTAAATGTTTACAAAATGGGTTTATTGTGCTGTTGTTTCAGACCTAAACTCTTTAGGCTTGAAAGGAGTGTTAAAATAGAGGAGAAGAACAGATCATACGATGGTATATACCATACAATATATCAATATATCTGTTATATAATTACTTTTAAACTAAATTAAAACAAAAATAATCGACGTTTCAGTGGTTAACGACATATCGATTGATAACAACCCGACGATCAGTTCATCTGTCTATCAGACGCCGACAGTGGGTTTGAGTGAACAGAATCTGTTTGATATAACAGTGCAGACAATGGCGGCGAAGATGATCAATATCCCGGCCCATAGCGAACAGTTGCCACAAACACTCCTCAGAGACAAACAGAAGACTTACGCCCGAAAAGTATTATCCATAAGAAATCCTCTTCCGCTCCGATCCAGCGCTCAGATGACTAAATCAAAGTCAGAGCCCAATAATGGTTTGTGACATTGTATTCAATTCCTATATTTACAAATCAATAGCTTTTCAGCAGTTTTTGTATGTTTTTGTTTTTTGATGAAAACTTTTAGTTACGATTCAAGAGAGATGCGAATCAATTGATTGTATTCGCGAAGAAGACCTGAAACTGATCCGCAAATTCAGCCAAATGTCGAGTAATGCCATTAAAAAAGGTTTTAGTTTCTGGTCGGAAGAGCCCATTGTTGTCAAATTTAACCCAAACAACGATCACAAACATTAAATCTTCTAATTAATATACAGCAGGTATTTGTATTGAAAACCTATTTTAATAAATTTAACCATAATTTTTGGATAAAGTAAGTTATTTAAAACATAATATAAATTAGTTAATTAAAATAAAAGTTAAACTCAAATTTAAAACTAATTTCTTAAATAAATATAATTACTTTATTTTAAAATTATTTTTATCGATAACTTGAATTTAGTATTAAGCCGTTCAAAAAAACTTGTCGCCTCAAGAATCGTTATATCTCCCAAACAGAATGAGCTAGATCAATTCTGTAAAATGTAAAACAGAGTTCCACGTGTCTAGTTTTTTGTATCAAAAAATTATTAAAATCACGTGACTAGAACATAAAAATTTTTGGGTCATTTCGAAATGCTATAATTTTAGCCCAGTTGAAAGGGGGGTCGGAAGGAGGCGGGTATGCTATTTGGAAGAGGAGATGTGAAAGTATATTATAGGAAAGTTTGACTTCGATTAGTCCAGCCATTTACGAGAAATTGTCAATTTTATTAACATTAGGTCTATGGGGAAAAATGGTTCTGAAGTCGACCTTTTATAACTACTAAAATGTAGTGTAAAAAGGTCAAAATTGGGCGATTTTTGGCCACATATTGTGTCAAATTTGTTGAATATTTTGTTCGTTACGAAAAAATATTTATTCAATGTTTATCAAACTTTGCTATAATATACTTTCACATCTCCTCTTCCAAATAGCATACCCGCCTCCTTCCAACCCCCCTTCCAACTGGGCTAAAACCATAGCATTTCGAAATGACCCAAAAATTTCTATGTTCTAATCACGTGATTTTAATAATTTTT